TTATTTCATTCATAAATAATTCTCTAATGAAATGAAATCTGAAACTGTCTTCACCTCCTCCGTCTGGACTCCGGCCGATGTTTGGTGTCCGACTCACACGGTGTTAGTGCAGTCGGGACGAGAGCCTCCGTACTGCAGGACGCTCGGACCTGACGGGTTCCTGCTCGGACCGGAGCCCATGGAGGACGAGCTGCTGCCTTCACCGGAGCTGCCGGAGGAGGAGGAGGAGGGGATCCTGTCAGTTTGGGGCAGAGGCTGAGATGGTCTGAAGGGACGGTGGAGGCGGTGGGCGTCGAGCATCTCCAGCAGCAGGTCGTACAGAGGCACTTTGTTCTTGCACTTCATGCTGTACAGGTGCTCCATGCCTTTGTTGCTGCAAGCAAGGAAACCAAAGAAAGGAAAATAATCTGAGGTTTCAAAATTTAAACTGTTTACTTTGTTACGGGAATGACAGGTCAACTAATTCAAGACCAGAGTGTATCGAGATGGGAATAAAACCAAGACTTTTAGGGAACGAAGACTGAGCAAGACCAGAGGCAGATTGCTAACGGTAGCTAGGTACCTATGCTAACATCACTTAGCTTTCTTAATGCTTCCCGTCTCTGCCCCTTTTCCACTAGTGTCACTTAGTGCAGTGTCGGAACAGGTCAGTTTGGGTGTTTTTCCCATGATGTTCCAGTCCGGTTTCAGTGGGTGTGTTTTGGGTGGATGGTGGAGGTGATTTTTGGGTTTTTCAAAAAAAAAAAAAAAGTTAATGCGCAAAATGAGAGATGGAAACACATTTGCCAAATAAGTTCTGAAATTTTAAAAAATTTGCTAAAAATTTGAATTAAAATCGGATGGAAACACGACTAATGTCGTTGTTACAATTGAAAAAAATGATCCTTGAAGGCAGCTTAGACGCAACCAGTGAGTCCACCCCCTAGCCGATCAGTGACGAAGAATGTTCCGACATCGTATTTTGGTGTCGACTGGGACCACTTGGAACCACAACGAAGTAGGTACTAAAAAAAGGGCTGGTTCCATGAATCTGGCCGAAAGGGCTTGGAACTGTACCAAACCGTACTGACACTACACTAAGTGGCACTAGTGGAAAAGGGATTAGGCCAGATTTATGGAACCAGCCCTTTTTTTAGTACCTACTTCGTTGTGGTTCCAAGCGGTCCCAGTCGACACCAAAATGCGACGTCAGAACACTGTTCGTTACTGATTGGATAGGGGGTGGAGTCACTGGTTGCATCTAAAGGGCTCGACACACGGGCAGCGACAAATGACAGCGATTAACGGCTGTCATCGCAGCCAGGGTGAAACCCGACACACGGGACGCGATAGCGATCGCAGCGTTGCAAATCGCGCTCTCAGGTCGCTTGTCTTCACAAAATTTGATTGGTTCTTGACTCTGAAGGCGGGTGTGCATTACGGACGTGTAAACTAAACAAATCTTGCAATGCTAATGATATTGAAAAACAAACACACATCAAGATACAGTTTTATGAGGAAAAACTTACCATAAACTTCACCCTGGTGCCAATAAATTCCCACAAAGCTTTTTAGTAATCACTTGGTGAAAGTGTTAGCTAACGGCAGTGTGTAGCATACTCTCCTCTCATTGGTCAGTCAATGAAACCCTCGCTGATTGGTTGTACGCTAAGCGACAGCGACAAAAGTTGAACATTTTTCAACTTTCATATGTCGCGTCGCAAGCTCGCGTGTGCACGTCTACGTGTACGAGCGCGAAATTTCACATGCACCGTTTTCACCGGTCGCTTAGCTGGAGGAGGGCAAGCGATTGTCGCCTCACCGCACAGGCTCCATAGGAAATGAATGGAGATCGAGCGACGTCGCCTCCCGTGTGTCGAGCCCTTAAAGCTGCCTTTACAATAACAACTCAAGGAGCCATTTTTTCCAATTGTAGCAGTGACATTAGTCATCTTTCCATCCAATTTAATTCAAAATTTTAAGCAAATTTTTAAAATTTCAGGACTTATTCAGCAAATGTGTTTCCAGCTCTCATTTTGTGCATCATCTTTTTTCAAAAAACCCAAAAACCACCTCCACCAACTGCCCAAAACACACCCACTAGAACTAGACTGGAACGTCAATGGAAAAACAGCCGAACTGACCCGTTCCGACACTGACCGTACCGACACAACACTAAGCGGCACTAGTGGAAAAGTGGCATAATAAGTGACAAAATTTTGACGTCGTCCCCACCGTCTCTGAAAGTGAAGCCCTGCAGGATTTCCAAGTCGCTGTACGCTTTCTCCTGAATGTTGTTTTACAAATATATTCTTTAGGATTTATGTGGCCAAACTGTATTACTGATGAGCCGTTAGCTAATAAGCTAAAGGCTAGTTTGCAAACATCTTTTCCCGCTCCCAAACAACCACTCGCTCACGTTCTTGGAGTACCCTGTGCAAGTGGAACGGAGTGGGTGACAGCAGCAACAAAAATAAAACAAAAATACACAATTATCGACGAGTCAGGCTTGGATTTGAATCAAGTTTTAAATCCAATGAAAACAAGGATGTTAGCAAATAAATTTGACAATTCTGGCGATTTAGTGATATTTTTCACAGCTGTGGTCTTGACTGGTCTTGAAATAAAATCCCAAGTCCTCAATGTCCAAGACCGAGGCAAAACTGAGTGTTGAGTCCGAGACCAAGACCACCACAAATGAGGCCAGGCTCAAGACAAAAACTTTGAATATTACAACAATGATTTTACTCAGGTTTGTTTTACACACAAAAAACCTGCTTAAAATGAAAATAAATTTATTATTGTGGGGGTACGAGTTGAAGCAGCAAACCTTTTGATTCCGCTAAAACCCAAACTGCTACAAACAGAACTTCAGGTGACTCGGTGCCTTTTCCTTCTTGGGTTTTACCTCATGTGTCTGATGTGGGACAGCAGCAGGAGCAGCTGGGCCTGTCGTCTCGCCTGCTCTGGGACGGAGAACCCCGACCGGCTGATGTGGTGGATGAGCGCGTCGGTGATGGTGTCCAGTATGTTCTGGACCGCCAAGCTGTCGTGGAGGGGCTCCATCGTGCCGGTGCAGAAAGAAAAGGCACCTGAGGGAGGCAAAGTTTACTGCAGAACTCTCCTGACTTCTCGAACAAGACGATGAGCTCGGCATGAACTAATTCCAACCCAAAATACAAACAGCATTCAGGGTTTTTTTTTTTGATCAGACGTTATTAGATGTGACTCATTTAGTAAATAGAAGTGGATATTTAGGAATGTAATCAGAAACTAATCAAAAGTTCATCTTGATCCAGCAGCTGAGCAGCCAGTCTCATCTCACAGGTATTTCAGTCTGTTTCCTTTAAAGAATATCTCAACCTGCATGGCAAACACACACCCCTGTGCTGTCGCACACTGTCATGACAACCGTTATCAGGCATAATGACGATACAGGTCTTTCCAGAACACTCTGTTCGCCTGATGTGTCTGCAGCTCTGAGAGCTACACCTCTGTGGGTGGATTTTTTGACACCGTTCAATATTTACCTCCGCCAGCAGAGATGTGAAACCTGCGACATAAACAGCAAACCAAAAACCGGAGTGTTAAAATGTCAGTGTTAAACTTTACAGAGTCAATTTAACTCCCCCTAGTGTTATTTTAACACTTGCTGAGTAAACTGACATCCAGTGTTGTTGTTAATTCACAGTGTTGATTTCCTCAGTGCTGTCTCAACACTGGACAGTTAAATAAGCACCGCCCACTTTTAAGTCTTATACAACCCTTAACAGTGTTGTTATATGATACTGAGCCCGCGAGAGGACATGGGGGAATTTTTTTTCTTTTGCGTTCCCACGCAAAAGTATTGCGTTCCCTCGCAAAAGTCGTTTATCACTGTTGTGCCTGCCAGTTTATTAACTCACATGTTTACAATTAGCGAGTTAGCCTACTGCTTTAATTCAGCTTCAGAATGAATATATCACACAGCCACGCATGGAAGCATGTCATATGCCGATATTTTAACACAGTTCAGTGACGCAGCATCACCATCAATTTCACAAACTTGTGGCGACACATCCTGTTTTGGTAACCGGATATTTCAAAATAAAAGTCTGATTTAATTCAGTTCATTTACAAATCTTTTGCGTGGGAACGCAAAACAATATTGCGAGGGAACGCAAAGGTATTGCGAGGTAACACGAAAGAAAAAAATCCCCCCATGTCCCCTCGCGGGCTCCGTARTATGACACCATGCAGTGTTGAAAGAAGTATTCTGAAAAGCCCCGCCCTCTTCCACCTCATGTCAGACAGACCAGTATTTTAACAGCAAGGGATGCTGGGTAATCTTGTAGAAATGATGTGTTTGCATGTTTATGTCTATTAAAGAAGTTCATGAGAGTAAAAATTTGTTGTTTTGTTCAGGTTTATCAGTTGATCAAGTTTAAGTTTGTGTTATTGGCTATAAATCGACACCATGAGGGAGAGCTACTTCCTGGTGTGTGAAGGTCGACTCCATTACACTTATCCAGAAACTACAGGTGCTGGTCATAAAATTAGAATATCATGAAAAAGTAGATTTATTTCAGTAATTCCATTTAAAAAGTGAAACTTGTATATTATATTCACACATTACATACAAACTCATATATTTCAAATGTTTATTTCGTTTAGTTTTGATGATTACAAATGACAACAAATGAAAATCTCAAATTCAGCATATCAGAAAATTAGAATATTACTGAAGACCAATAAAAACAAAGGATTTATAGAAATGTTGGCCAACTGAAAAGTATGAACATGAAAAGTATGAGCATGTACAGCACTCAGTATTTAGTTGGGGCTCCTTTGGCCTGTATTACTGCAGCAATGCGGCGTGGCATGGAGTCGATCAGTCTGTGGCACTGCTCAGGTGTTATGATAGCCCAGGTTGCTCTAATAGTGGCTTTTAGCTCTTCTGAATTGTTGGGTCTGGTGTATTGCATCTTCTTCTTCACAATACCCCATAGATTTTCTATGGGGTTAAGGTCAGGAGAGTTTGCTGGCCAATTAAGAACAGGGATACCATGGTCCTTCAACCAGGTACTGGTAGCTTTGGCACKGTGTGCAGGTGCCAAGTCCTGTTGGAAAACAGGACGCTTCTGACGCTGTCTGTGGTTCAAGAGTGGCTTGACACAAGGAATGCGACAGCAGAAACCCATGTCTTTCATACGTCTGTGTGTGGTGGTTCTTGAAGCACTCACTCCAGCTGCAGTCCACTCTTTGTGAATCTCCCCCACATTTTTGAATGGGTTTTGTTTCACAATCCTCTCCAGGGTGTGGTTATCTCTCTTGCTTGTACATTTTTTTCGACCACATCTTTTCCTTCCCTTCGCCTCTCTATTAATGTGCTTGGACACAGAGCTCTGTGAACAGCCAGCCTCTTTAGYGATGACCTTTTGTGTCTTGCCCTCCTTGTGCAAGGTGTCGATGGTCGTCTTTTGGACAACTGTCAAGTCAGCAGTCTTCCCCATGATTGTGTAGCCTATAGAACTAGACTGAAAGACCATTTAAAGGCCTTTGCAGGTGGTTTGAGTTAATTAGCTGATTAGAGTGTGGTACCAGGTGCCATCCATTTTGAACCTTTTCACAAGATTCTAATTTTCTGATATGCTGAATTTGAGATTTTCATTTGTTGTCATTTGTAATCATCAAAATTAAACGAAATAAACATTTGAAATATATGAGTTTGTATGTAATGTATGAATATAATATACAAGTTTCACTTTTTAAATGGAATTACTGAAATAAATCTACTTTTTCATGATATTCTAATTTTATGACCAGCACCTGTACTGTGTAATGTTAATGCAACACTAAAAGAGTTGATCTTAACACTGAAGTGTTAAACTTACACTTTAAAATGTGCTGTGTAATGACACCTCATAGTGTCTGTTTTACACCACTCTACACAGCAAGAGAGTAGTGTCAAATTAACACTTGTAAGAAGTATATGAACCTCCAGTGTTAACCATAAATAACTCAATGCARTGTTGAAAAGCATGAGAATCAGAGTTGATTTGTCACCACAGTGGAGTACCTCATTAACTCTGCTTAGAATCATAATTTCTCTCATCAGATTTATTTGACTTGAAGTGTTAAGTTTTATTAACACTGTACAGTGTTAGTSAGTGTTAATTTTTAACTCTGTTTAGAGTTAAATTGTACTCTAAAAATTTAACACTATGGAAAGAGTTAAATTGACACCAATTCAGATAAGGACCCAATAGACACAGTGATAAATTTAACTCTTTAAGTGTTGATTTAACACTGCAAAATTTACCGTGAAGCTGTGAAACTTTAGCTTTTATTGTCTTTAAATTGCCGAAACTCCCCCGATTGGTTTCGTTGGACGGAGCGCTGGTCTTACCGGAGTTGAGCARGATGATGGCTTTGAGGCAGACAAACTCCTCGGGTTTGAGTTTGAGCATGCGGAAGCGAGAAGTGGTGGCCAGCAGCATGTCGAAGATCTCCGTCATGCCCTCGACGCAGTCGCCCTCGTTCCTGGAAAGCAAAGTTTACGTTAAAAAAACAAAAACAAAACAAAACATGAATGTATAAAAGTCACGGAAAAGTCTGTGAAGCTCTTCAAAAAAAAATTTTAACGACTAATGCACTGAACTACTGTAACGCTCCAAAGTGAGGCGAAGAAGGATAATATCCAGTTGCTTCAGTGCGACACAAACTGGAAGAGCTCAGAGGCGAGGGAATGTGTCAACCCTGACCCGCAGCGTTTTAGTCATCATGTCCAATTGGTGAGGACACTCATTCAGGGAGCAGGTTTTAGAGATAATACTCTGTAATGCACTTTAGAATCAGATGGAACCATCAGAGGGTAAAAGCCCCGTCTGTCTGCGTGTCGCCCTCATCCTCTCTCCTCTCCTCTCCCAGGGCTGACCGGCCTGTTTACTCTGAACACGAGGGGGGAAACGAAGGGAACAAGCTGTGCCTGCAAAAGCAGAAAACACCTCAGTCTCCCCGTGTCTCTATTTTCTGATCTTTTTTTTTCCCTGTCGTCTCCCTCTCTCTCCCAATTTCCTTCATTCTTTGCATCGAGGCTTTGATTAACCCTCCGTCCCGGTTTCCAGCTCAGCCCTGTAATGATGAGGGTGGGGATGTTTCAGGTTAGAGGGGGGCTGCTCTACTCTCCGTGGGGGAACATGCAATTAGCCTTTCACTCTGTGGCGGATGTGTTGGGGATGGCACAATAGCTTGGCGAGGTGTAAAACGGAAAAAAATCTACAATGCTGATGTATCACTCGTAAGGGAAACGTGTTTGCCAGTATGGAGACTCCTCCCTTGCCTGTCCAGTATGAGGTCCTGGGCGAAGATGAGCTTTCCTGGGCAGTGGATTGACCTCCAGATGAGCCCGATCATCAGAATCTCCAGCCACGAGCTCTCCAGCAGCAGAACCTGATCGTGGAGCGACAGCTGCAGAAACCCTGGAGAAAACACACCAACATGAACAGGGTTCCTACAGTTTAAGGCAAGTTAAATTTAAGACTTTTTTAGACTTTTTAATGCCAAGTGAAATCAAATTTAAGACCAATTTCACAATAAACACAAATGACCCAAAACAAAATTTAAAACTGTGGCCGAAACTCATGAATCAAAGTATTTTTGGTTGAATTATTCAAATATTGCTAATAGACCAATTGTTTTTATCCATATCTAACTGCTATTTTGTCAAATAGAGCAAAAAAAAAAAAACATTCTTAGCAGTCAGTTTTAAACTTAATTTCATTTCTGGAAATCCTCTAATGACCCAACATTTGTAGTTTTATGACCCACAGTGGGTTCTTAGCCCCAGCTTGCTGTAGATGAAACCTTAAAATGCATGTGATATCAAATTTCTATAAGAAATATGAATGTATTTTTGGAAAGACGACATTATTAACATTAGAAAATGAATTTCACGTTGCTCAGATGGACAGTTGTTGAGATATTTCCATGTGAAGTGGTGTCAGAAGGGAACATCTGAATGGGAATATTTTAAAAATAAATTAATGTTACCAATTATTTTAATATTTGACACGAATTACAGTCATCCTACAATGTGTTAACGTTTTTAAGACTTCTGAAGATTGATTTAAGACCTTTTAAGTCTGAGAAATGAGGATGTTCTCATTCTTGATAGAGAGGAACCTTGGTTTGAGAGGAGTAAAAGAAGCCATTTTTGTGAAGAAAGACCGTCCATCATTAAACAGAGGTGGAGGCCTCCGTTTTCAGTTGTCCCCCTCCTACAGCGCGGCCATTGCCAGTATCACTCCACCCCCTGTTAACAAGTGTTAATTAGGTGTCAACGATAGCCATGTGATGTGAGTATCAGTCACATGGAGGCAGGGCTTAAAAGCCTGAATTTTGCCTGAAACTCTCAGACTGAAGAAGTCTCTTGGAGGAGAGACGAAACGTTTCATTAGAGAAGAACCCGTCCAGAAGACCTATACAATTTTTTTCTTTTTGATTTTTTACCTGGATTACTGAGATGCATCAGGACACCTTTAAGGCTAATCAAGGCCTTAGTTTTGAACTGATGAATTCAAGGCCTTTTAAGACTTTTTAATAATCCGGGGGAACCCTGATAAAAACGTTCATGACCCCGTTTTTGTTTTGAACCTCCTCTCATAAGGAGCCTTATCGCTGATTCTCAGCTGGTTTATTTCATACGTAATTATACAATTTATTCCCATTCTTCCCCTCTTTGCTCTGTTTGGGACCCCTCGCAATTAAAACTGTGTCTTTAGCCTTTTAGWGACGCACGAGGTCGTAATGCCTCAAAATCAGGATTTACTCTTCCTGCCTGTGTGTGTTTGAGGGCRGCGCACCTTCTAATGCATTTAGGCTCTGTGGGATGCCAGCAGATTGACCAAACAGTCCTCTCAAAAGGTGATGACTGCTGTTACCATCACCTTAATGTCTCTGCATGTGTGTGTGTTTTCATGCTGCAGCTCTGATGTTTACCTGCTGTTTCCTGAGAACAGACAGCTGCAGCCTTTGTCACATCTGAGCCACTATATAGTTAAGATTCGAACCTAATTGTAAATAATGTCACTAAAAATAAAAACTGATGCCAAGTGTTTGCAAAGTTCCACTGATAAGATTCATATAATATCAACTAAGCTGCATGATTAGAACTCAAAGTTGTAACGGTGATGTTTAAAAACTGGGCAAAAACAACCTTCTTGCTTGCAAAGCACACACAAAAAAACAACTCAAATTGCTTCAATGTGCTTTTTGTCCTTTGTGTTGCTCTCTGTTCCCCGAGCTAAATGTTCCTGTGGTACAACATGAAGTAAACAGAATCGGCTCCAAATATCAAATTTAAAACTAAAATGCAGTGTGAGTGCTTAATGCTGATTTTTTTCCCCCCTGAAAGCTGCTGAAGAAGCGAATAAAGTTTTAAAAGCAAAACTGTTCATGTGAAATCAATTTGAACAGCCGACTTTTGCTGAAATTAGGAAAACAAAAGCAGCAGAAACGATGTGAAACTAGCAAACATGGTGAACGGAAAATAAAAAAAGCTCACACTGGCAGAAAAAAGTTGCAATTTGCAGTAACTGGTTACAGCAGCCAAAATTAGCAGAAAAATAGCTAGAAASTAGATGAAAAAAGCTGAAATTATCACAAAGATGCAGAAAGATTGTTTTGCTGAATTAAGCAGCAAGAAGCTAACATTATCATAAAAAGGTAAATTTAGATGAAAAAGTTAAAATTAGCTGAAAATAGCCACAAAGTAGCTAAAAAAKGCAGAAAATATATAAAATTAGCAGAAAGTAGCTAAAAGAAGCCTAAAAAGTTGAAATTAACAGACATATGAAAAGAGCAGAAAGATAGCTGAAAAGCAGAAAAAACTCAAAGTAGCCAAAAAAGGAGCTGAAAGAAGCTGAAATTAGCACAAAAAAGGCAGAAGCAGAACTAAAAGTAGAAAGTACAATAAAGATTTACAAACATTTAAAGATGTTGAAGACAACTCCACTCACTTTCAATTAGGAAAAAATATTAGGAAAAGCTAAATAGCTGAAAAAGYTGCTGAAATACCAAAATCCATAACACCAATGGCATAAGTGAGCGGAAAATTTTGATATACGAGTTGTTAAAATAGCACAAAAATTGTGGAACGAGTTAGATGCCAAAAAACAAATGGGAAGAAAATAGATAATCTCAWTAATGTGAATGCTTCATAGTATTCACACAATAGCCAAACTAAGTGGAGATAAATGCAGAAAATAMGTGAYTGCCCAAAGTTTTGGATGGAACGACACTACCTGGCCWCCTTTGGGTCATGACCGAAAGAACGAGGTCCYGGATACAAGCGGCCGAAAYGGGTTTCCTCCGCAGGGTGGCTGGACTCTCCCTTAGAGATAGGTTGAGAAGCTCGGTCATCCGGGAGGGACTCAGAGTAGAGCCGCTGCTCCTCCACGTCGAGAGGAGCCAGTTGAGGTGGCTCGGCATCTGGTAAGGATGCCTCCTGGATGCCTCCCTGGTGAGGTGTTCCGGGCACGTCCCACCGGGAGGAGGCCCCGAGGAAGACCCAGGACACGCTGGAGGGACTATGTCTCTCGGCTGGCCTGGGAACACCTTGGAGTTCCCCCGGAGGAGCTGGAAGAAGTGGCTGGGGAGAGGGAGGTCTGGGCCTCCCTTCTGAAGCTGCTGCCCCCGCGACCCGACCCCGGATAGGTGGAAGAAAATGGATGGATGGATGGATGGATGGATGGATGGATGGATACCTGGCCTCCTGTACTAATATTGGGCTACTAAACTGAGGTATTGGATTCAGTATGAGAAAAAGGAAATCCTCTAACCACGGATGGTTCTTGCAGAAAACCTAACTATACTCACTTCTTCACTCCTCTGCTTCTAGTTACACTAAAAATGTGATAATGGCTCAAATCTGGGTTCAATTTTATCAAAATAACAAAGAACATCTGACATTTTCATTAAATACACGAGTAGAAAAACTGTGTTTGGTAGATTATTTCTTTGTTGTAACAATTCTTGGCAATAAACCTTATACCAGGCAGCACCTGGAGGCACCAGCTCAAAACAAGTGACAATAACAGCAGAATCAACTGTTTGATRGAGAAGATTTGACCACTGCTCACCCCACAAATTCAAGTTCTTTACAAATGTGACACCATTTAAAACAGTTTACACTTTATTGCCAAAAAGCAGAAATAATCTACCAAACACAAAATTCCTRTACGTTTTATGCTAAGTTTATATTGGAAGGGAGAAAAAAAAGTAAATATCAATACAGTTATCATTTCATTTGACCTTATAAACATGCCTTTAACTTTAGAACATAAGAAAGTCCTGACAGTCGTAACTTTTTATCATCCAAAACGCTGCATTAAATAAACTTTCAACACTTTCTGTATTCGAACCTGGCAGTTTCTTGGCCCAGGCGATCATGTGGACCAGCTCCTTGTCGGCCATGGTGGTGAGCAGGGTCATCATGGTGACCTCGGTGTAGGGTCGGCTCAGCTTCTGACGGGAACACAGAATCGGCGGCTCGGCGCTCTGGAGCAGGAGGAGCACCTGGAGGCGCAGTGATGGATTTACGACAAAAGTAATGAAAATAAGGTGAAACCAAAGTGCTGATTTGTAACTTCGGGATAATTCTCCCGTGACTCAGCACCTGTTCCGGAGGAAGACTCGTTAACGGAGCTCTTCCTCCACCACCGATGCTGCTGCCGCTGCGTTTCCTCCCATCGTGATTGGTCACTGCTTTGTGTTCCAAGCCTTTGGCAGCCTTGTCTCTGTCTCCGCCCCGTCTTTTGTCGTGCCGCAGCACACGACCCCGGTCCTTGCGCACACCTTCATGGAGAGGAAGAAAAAAAAAAAACAGACATGACTTGTGTGCATGATAATCCTCTTCCTCTTCTCCACAACATCTAATTTGCAGATTATGCGGACGGCTAAGTGACTCGAGAAGTATGAAAACAAAAATGTTGGCACGCAGCAATCAGCAGTTATACTCCTTAAAAGGAAAACTCCTCAAGGTCTGGTTAAAGTTCATGTTTATCTGAATCCACCAACATGCTGATATCTGGACCAATGTGGTCTGGGAAAAACCAAAAGGGATCAATGACAATTGGGTTTAAGATTATTGTTTTTTTATAGATTATAAAACTAAAATGTAAAAAAAAAGGTAGTGAAATAATTTAAAATGAAGCCTAAGAGGTTTTCTTTGGGAAAAAAAACAGACTCTTAATGATTCTGCTCACCTCCTTTCATCATACCCACTTCGTAACACTTCCTAAGACGACAAGCCTGGCAGCTCTTCCTCCGATTCCTGTCAATAGTACACTGATTGGTCGCTGGGCACATATAGTCATTGTGACCTGAAATGGAAGGAAATCTATTACTTTTACTCTTCAAGTCCAATATTCCGTTCAGGTTTCGGCTATTTAGGAGCTGGGAACACTCTATTCCCCATTTTAAATGAATCTAAGATGGAGAACATTAAAACATGGCATCTCGGCTTTGTTACTGCCATGGAGACGATTGGTTTCCTTATAACCAGAGATTTTACATCAATATGACAGAGAAGACGAGCGAGCCACCGAGCAGATGGAAGCTTTGAAGCTGGAAAAAAAAATGCTGTCGATTGCTTGCGAAAGAGAAGACTAGAAGTAAAAGTTGAACTGGTGAGCTCAGCTCTCTTTGTGCAGAGGGAGCGTCTCGATTCATGGCGTCTGTCTTTGCCTTTATGATGACGATTAAACTTGACAGCTTATGTTTGAGTCAAGGTTCCAGGTAATTCGCTTCCACATAATGAGCTCACCCAACTGCAGGCTTTAACACAAAGCTCATCTTTTCTGACAGGGATCTTTACAGACGTCTGATAAAACATCATTAGCTCTCCTCAGCTGACAGGAGGAGACGTTTTTATGTGATGCAAGGAGCGGTGTGTTGTTCTCAATAAGATTATTTAGAAAAGTTCTGCCTTCTTTCATCTTGTTGTTTTTTTTTAACGACAAACAGAACAAACTTTAAGTTCGACGACGTCTCGGCTCTCCTCACCCTGAATGCTCCTCTTGAAGAAGGCCTTGCAGCCCTCGCAGGACCACACCCCGTAGTGATACCCGGAGGCGTAGTCGCTGCACACGGCGCAGAAACGCGTCTCCTTGGCCACCTCGAAGCCCCCGGCCCCGGCCCCCAACTCCCCCACGCCGCACGCCTCGTCACGGGCGTCACTCTGGTCCTCTCTGGAGGCTGGCTGGTGGCTGGATCTGCAACGAGCCGTGAATTTTAATGTGATGATTTTTCTGTTCTCAAACGAGAGAAACGGCGACGCTAATAAAACCCTGTGTTTCATTAGAATATGGACATAAAAAAACAATAACAAGACGCTTCTGCTAAACAAAAACAATAAGTTTCTCATTTTTTATTACATTTATTAGGTGTTTAATGCCACTTGCACTGAACCTTGACATACTGACTTTAAAACTGGCGGCCTGCAGGAGCAGCCTCCTGTTTTCCACCTGAGTCAGGAAACAATCTGTGTGTGTACTTTTGTTCTTACGTATTGTTCCCCTCTCAAGGTCCTCCACAAAGTACTTAATCTCAGGAATTAAGAAAGCCGGACGAAGCTTGATCCTTTATTTAGAGATAGCTGCAGTGTTTTGTATACAGCGGGAGATTAAATAGCTACCAGATTAAACAATTATGTTTGGTTCATGTGGCATTTTGAAGGCTCAACTAAACTGCCAATGGCATAATGTGTAAGTTACAGATCATCTACCACCACTGCCACTTTAAAATGACAAACAATATCAAACAAGACCATTAAAGTGCCTGTGACGTCAAATTTTTGTAATACATATGAGTGCATTTTTAGAAAGAGGACATTGATAAAATATTGCAAAATAAATTTCATGTTGCTGAGCTGGACAGTTGTTGAGATATTTGCCTGTGAAGTAACAGGAAGTGATGTCAAAGGGGAATGTCTGAATGTAAACAGAGCATCGCTACAACAGACTGTAGAGAAGAATCTGTTTATTTAGATTATTTTGAGTCACTATCAGAGATGAAGGAGTTTAAAGATTGTTTTAATAAACAAAGACCAGGGAGTTTCCTTTGTTAAAGAGTTCCCCTTTGATGTCACTTCTTGTTTCACTTTGAGTGAGCCAAGTTCAAGAGAAAATAAGCCAGTTATGGGACAAAATGGGTAAAAATCATGTGTGTTATTCTAACTTTCTTAAATATAAAGATATTTTCTTCGACTTTTCGTATTTGAAGAACATGCATGTCACAGGCACTTTAATACAGCAGATTAAGAATATCCCTAAAGCACAGATTACTGGTTGGATTTTCATTTTGGTGATGTGTGTGTCATACCTGTAGACCGGTGTCGAGGCTGTTTCCAGATAGTTGTGGCCAGGAGGATGCATGAAGGGGCTGAGCCTYGGGCTGGTGGGCACAAACACGAGTGGACTAGTGGACCCGCTTCCTAGAGACTGAAGGCTGCCTTCAGACGTGGGTCCGTGAGCGTCCAGAGGAGCAGAGAAGTACCCGGCGCTGGAGTTGCTGTACAGAGGAGTCGGGGCAGGGGTGGGGGCGGCGTAGTCGTACATCCCCTCTAGGAAGTCCACAGCAGCTGCCCCTCCGGAGCCCCGGCTCTCTTCAGGGTACATGTCACCGAAGGGGGCACGGGGCGAGGGCGGCAGACGAGGCGGGGAGAGGGTCTCCAGCTCTGAGGGGGAGGCTGGGCTGAACCTGGTCCTGAGCACTGGTCCCAGCGGCTGCCTGCTCTGCACTGGGCTCTGCCTTAGCAACATGACAGCACAAAAGCAATGATAAGCAACATGATTTAGACTTGCTCTCCCATTTGCTGGGTGGGAGAGTGGAGTGCTCACCCTCTCTCCCTCCTTTCTCTCTCCCCYCTCGCTCAGGCTCTAACTCCTGTCAGACAACTTGGAGGGACCACCGGGGTCCTTTTCCTCTATCTGCCTTGAGATTCTGCTCAACTGGTTCTAAAAGAACAAAACCAGACAGCTAAAAAAGACTCCTCCCTACCCACTTATTTTTTTTCACCCTTTCCCTCAACGTAGTATTTCCTCCTTTTCCTCTAAATCTTTCCTGAAGTGTGGGAGTGAGGGAAAGCTGGTGGGAGAGAGGAAAAGAAAGGATGACAGAAATAGTGGTTCCCAAATAACTTCCCTGTCTTCTCTCCTCCACATTTCCACTTCACCTTTGTGTTACATTGAGCAGCTTGAGTGAAAGAAACTCTAGTTGTGTCCCTGAATATTCATCCTTGATTAAGCTGATCGTCGAATCATTATGGCCAGTCTATCAGTGGGTCCACCTGCGGCTCATCACTGGGACAACGTGGTGAAAGTGTAGACAATTGTTTCACAACATRAAAAACACAAAAACAAGACAATCAATGAGGCACTCACCTTTTTTTTCCTACACGTGAATCATCCTGCGCAACAGCGTCCGAGTCCTCCGTCTCTTCCTCTCCGCTCGCCTCGCAGGCATCTAGCTGTGCTGGTCGTCCCCAACAGGAGCAGTGGAAAGGTTTGAAAAAGGATAAACAAATTAAAGATGCAGCCAAATCAATAACCATGGTGTGTTCAAGCACCAGGTCACCATAACACAGCAAACAAAACTGGAGGTCAGATCTCATTCTGACAGACAAGCTTTTATGCAATCAATCCCAAATAAGGGTATTTTTTTAATATATTTTAAAAGCAGTACAAGCTAAAAKCTATGAATAGAATAAAACTAAACTTTATTATAAGGGTGACACAGTTAAAAGCAGCAGAATAAATCGAATTAAATGAGTATTTATGCTAATAATAAATGTGAAGTGGTAAGATTTATGTGTACACTAAGTTTCAGGGATCACAGACCCTTGATGTCCTTGTGTGTTGGGGGGGCCAGGCGTCAAGGTAAAGACAAAAAAGAAAGAAAAAAATCTTGTGAAGTTAAGAATATTCTAGGAAAACCTTAAAATAGGGTTGCTATTTTAAAAAAAAATCTGTGTGTAAAAAGACAGCTGTTTACTTTAAAAAGCACTTGAGGGATCATTTGAGTCGTGTGAAGTTCTACAAACGAGCTTCCCAAGTAAGATTAATAAATGTGAGATGTTCATTTGTGTAAATAAATAAGATTATGTGGCTAAAATAAAAATAGAGGCACAAAGTGTTTTTTTTTTTTTTCCTTTTGGTGACACCTTTTCTTGGCTTAACGGCATAATTTTTCAAGACATGTCAGGTCAAGAGGAAAACAAGTAGCTCTGATGAGACAAACTGTTTTTGCATTTCCCTTCCTGGTGTAGCATTAAAGACATAAGGTGGGAGCAAAATGACAGGTGAGAATGCAGTAAATGACCTAAATGGCACCAAATAAGATGCTTTTTGTTGTAAATAACCTAACTTTTGTGAATGCATGGTTCTTTTTTTTTAGCTCATCCAAAATTATAACATACGTTTTATATGAGAAATTGACCTTGACCTAGAGGCAAAAACTGATTATTAAAAAAAGACACTTTCACTGATCTGTTCACCATTTTACATTGTCGTTGCTCTTAACCAATAAAAATGATCAAATACATGGATTTACAGGAAAGAAACAGTCAAGGCTTGAAACAAAAAACATCAAAAGTCACTATTATCAACTTCAATCTCTGAAAAGCAAGGCAATGAGAAGCAAATTTGTCGCAGACATTTATTTAGTTTTTAAATCAACATATTTGTTCCAGAAAGTCCAAGAACCCATAGACATAATTACCACTGAAGTCTTGAAAGTGACAGTGTTGCTATAGATGACATAACACAAAAGTCTCCACTTTTATCTCAACTGTTAGAGGTCTGAATTGTATTTCTTTTTTTTTTACAAAAGAAAGCACATGCTGTCGATGTTATTGTTATAACCCTGACAGCAATGTACCATCTCCTTCACAGAGGAACCAGGTGACAGTGCAAACGTTTAACAGAGGTTATTTAAATTACAACCATCGTTATTGTTCTCARTGCATGCTCAAGTGTTGCTGCTGTTTACAGAATCTTCTTTAAAGGGATCCCTGATTAGTTGTAATATGAGACTTTATTTGATAAACATAAATTTTAACTGTAAAATAAAGACTGTAAAAATACTGTAGGTTGTTTAGTTTTGTAAATTTTTAATAATATATTTTAACACGGACTGAATGACATCGGAACCCGCGAGGGGACAGGGGAGGGGATTTTTGTTTCTTTTGCATTCCCAAGCGATATCTTTGCGTTACCTTGTAATACTTTTGTGTTACCTCGCAAAATTGTTTTGCGTACGCACGCAAAAGATGGTTTTGGATATGAACAGAATTAAATAACTTTTATTTTGAAATATCTGGTTACCAAAGCAGGATGTGCCGCCACAAGTTCGTGACATTGACAYTGATGTTGCGTGGCTGCACTGTGTTAAAATATGGGCATATGACATACTTCCATGCATGGCTGTGTGATATATTCATTGATTCTGAAGATGAATTGAAACAGTAGGCTAACTCGCTAATGGTAAACATGTGAGTTTGTTAATAAACCGACAGGCACAACAGTGATAAACGACTTTTGCAAGGTAACGTAATACTACTGCGTGGGAACGCAAAAGAAAAAAAAATTCCCTCATGTCCCCTTGCGGGCTCCGTAATGTCGTGAATAGGTCATCGGTGTGAGCGAGCTATATCCACCCTGAAGGTTAATCTTGGACAATATCTGATGATCGACTCTTTTAAATGAAACCAGAGWGCGTTGACAGAGAGGAGAAGGTAGAAATGACTCAGCCTGGAACTGAAAATATAAATGGAGAACAGAGCTGCTTCATGGAAGAACATTAGCTTAGCCTGTTAGCATTCGCGTTAGCACAGACACTTTATTGCCTTATATGTATTAGCTCAGCTCTAGCACGACAAACAAGCAAAACTGTTGTCCTCCATCCATATTTTCAGTTCCAGGCTGAGTCATTTCTACCTGTCAACGCTCTCTGGTTTCATTTAAGAGAGCCAATTGTCAGATATTGTCCAAGATTAACCTTCAGAGTGGATATAGCTCGCTAGCAGCCTCACACCGATGACCTATCCACGTCATCATTTACCCAGAATGCTTTGTGTGTAAATAAAATGGCCCCATCCATGTAATATATTTTAAAACTTTTAGTTTAAAAATGTAAAAACTGAACATCCTACAGTATTTTTAGCCTTTATTTTACAGTTAAATATATGTTTATTAAATAAAGTCTAATGATACAACTAATGGATCTCTTTAATTACACCCCAGTGTGTGTAAATAAAATATCCCCGTCCTTGTAATATGTTTCTAAACTTTTAGTTAAAATGATAAAAACTAAACATCCTACAGTATTTTTAGCCTTTATTTTACAGTTAAATATATGTTTATTAAATAAAGTCTAATGCTACAACTAATGGATCTCTTTAATTACACCCCAGTGTGAGCATATACTTAAATCTGTAAACATTATGACTTCAACACATCTTCAATAAACCTTAAATGTGTTACCTTTGAGAATAAACATACAACTGTAAACTGAAATTTAAATGAAAATTTAAAAGAAAACTGTATGGTTGCAGTGCATTTCGTTGTCAAACTCAAAGTGCTTAAAGACTATAAAAGATCAACAACCCTTCATCACTTCAGTTTGTTATGGATTAATGGCACCACCTACATTTGGCAATTAACTGTAAGAAACTTTCCAGTGTTTTTCCTGAGGCCAGCTTCACTGTTCTGACTTTGGGCTGCTGAACTGGATGACGGCGTACTTCCCGCTGGTCATCCAGTTTGGGTCCTGGGATGTGAGCTTCTCCCCTTGGCCCGGCTGCAGACCCACCTGAACGTTAGCCTTCAGGGTTCTCAGGCTACACAGCGGTGCGGGCCCAAAACCTCTGAGTGCTGCGCTGAAATCCACGGTGTGATCCCAGTCTCTGTCTCCGGTCAGCTTCCTGTAGTTGAGATCGCCTTTAAAAAACACCAGGTCGGCCTCTCGCAGGGTCGCGTACAAGTCGGGAGCATCGGCCGCCATGTCGCAGAACTCGTGAGGCTGCGTCCAAAAAGGATGATCACGATAGCGCCAAACACCCTCTTTCAGGTATTTCTGCCACTGGACGCCACTCTTGGACATCCACCTGTGATTGGCTGCCATTGTCTGCCGGATGGTCCACTGAAAGTCGTTAGCTGTGACGTCAGAGACGAACCACGGGAAGCACTTGCCGTGGAAATGGACCTGCCGCACGAGGCCAGAAGAAACCAGGAAATCTGCTAAAACCAAGTCGGTGACCAGCTCAAAGCCAGCATTGTCTAGCACAATGTCCACTCTCTCTGCAGCGTTTTTACCAGACACGTCCAGCCTGTGGGATGAATGAAGAGCTGACCAAACCATGTTGGAGTCATCCACTAAGATAAAAGGCTGAAGGCTGTTTAGAGAATCTATTGGACTTGTCTTCTGGGAGTTTTCTTGACCAGCAGAGATAGAAAGATCACACTTGTTCCCCCAAAGAGAAATCTAGAAAGAGTCAAATACAAAAAACTAATTTATTTCAAATAGTCTAGAAATTGTGTTGCATTATAAAACAAGTCGAAGGGAAACAACTAAATTATGGCACAAGATGATAGGAAAACATATATTATTCTGGTGTCTCAATAGTATCAACATCAGGACCAGTACCAGCCTTAAATACACATACTTTTAGTCATAAAATCACCGATACTTCAGACAAATACATTTTTATGCACGGTGGCATCATTTATTCACCCCTTTTGTAAGTAACCAAAAGCAAAAATTAAAGATTTTCTGTAGTTTGGAGATATTTTAAGATAAACACAGATGTTCTGTGTTGGCAATAAGAGAAAAGTGTCATTGTGGAATAGTTAAGTACTAATTAATTACTTACAATGTATCTGTGCTCTGTATCAGCAAATAYCCAAACTGAGGTATTATTACTTGCACTTGATCTGAAAAAACTGTCAAAACACCCCTAAAGGATTTTATATCCCATTACTGTAATAATAATCAAATCATATTATCTAACACAATATAAATAACATCCACAAATTTGGTCTAAAAACATAAATATGTTTTTATTTGAATGATATCCATCCTTAACTTGTACTATACTCTGAAAAACATAAAATTTACTGACCTGGAGAAGTTTGTTGAAAAASTCAAACAGCTGATTCTTGGACAGTTTTTCTGTGTTCTTATGGAAGTCTGACAAATAAGTGCATAAGGCCATTACAGCCTGCTGAGACTCAAAAAAGCTTTGAGTYTTTCCTTCTTTATACACATCAAAGTTGCTGATGGGAGGACTGAAAAAGAAAGAAGAAATAAAACTATTACAGGGAAAACAACAAGATCAGTACATTTAAAAAGCTACTGGTTACATAAGAGGATTAGGGCCACTGGAAAAATAAAAATTCTGACTTTTTTCTCAGAATTTTGACAAAATTCTGAGAAAAAAGTCAGAATTCTTGTTTTGTTTTTTTCAGTGGGCCTAATCGTCTTCTGTAAACTAGGCTACGTTCACACTGCAGGTCTTAATGCTCAGTTCAGATTTTTTGAAAAAATCCGATCTTTTTGTGTGAACGTTCACATTACATTTYAAATGTGACCTGCATCAGACCCCTGTGTGAACGCTACACAGCACTGATGTGACACGCATGCGCAGTAAAAGACGTGACATCTCATCAGCCGGCTTGTTTGTTTACAGAGCTAGCATGGATGCTACATTTTGCGCATCGAATCGGAAGTTGTTGTTTAATCRGAGCCGATTAAATAATTATCTGACCTGCTTCTTTAGTTCAGTGTTTAAATCTGAACCTGCCTCTGACCGGGATGCTCCAGTGAAGCTTTTTTTTTTTTTTGAACAAAACTACGAGCTGGAAAAAAGTATCGACCGAGTAGCTAACTTTAGGATCGATACTCTCCGCGACCCAGGCTGGACATGGTTATTATCAAACTATCTACGTGGAAAATGAAAAGTAAAAAGATGAAGCAACTGGACTTGTGTTTTGGAGCTGTAAACACACGGAGCTGCAGATTTAAACAGCGAGACTTGAGGTTAGTGTCTTATCGATCCTTCAGCCCCTCCTCCAGATGAAAAAGTCAGATGAATGTGACATGATCGTTCACACTGCAGTCACTTTGAAAACATCAGATATGTATCCGATTTAAAACCACATACTGAAACAGCCTGGGTCAGATTTGAAAAAATCGGATTTGTCTCGTTCAGACTGTCATAAAAAAATCAGATATGAGTCAGATGGGTCAAAAAAATCGGATTTGGGTCGGATTTGCCTGCAGTGTGAACGTAGCCCTAGTGATGCTGAGAATCAGTTTTTTTTTGTTTTGTTTTGTTTTGTTTTGTTTTAATGTAAGTGTAATAGTTCCAATGCTATAAAATGAACTCTCACTTGAGTATAAGGGCTTCTTGTATCCTGCGGTACATGTAGCACTCTACATAAAGCCATGGGGACTTAAACCAGCTGACAGCATCCTGGTCCCCCAACAGTCTCTGCTGTCTCTCCATGTACTGGTTCCAGGATTCTGTGTCCTGTAAGCCGTCTGTTATTAACAGGAGCGGCTTATCCGTTTGTAGCTCATTTCTCAGCTTAGACAGCAGAGATATTGCTTGCTTCTCAGCACTGATTCCCTCCTAGAGAAAATTCAAAACACAAACAGACAAAAACAACATCAAGACCTAAATGAAMGGTACACTGAAATATGACTGCACATGTCCCATAAATACAGCTTCAATTAGGAAACAGTTCTTACCTCTCCATACTCTTCAAAAAACTTGTTTTTGTTACGATGTATTGTGTCTATAACTCTGGTTAAAATCGTGGGTAATCTGTCTTTTACAGTTAAATAGGCAAAAGACCTGCAAAAACAAAACAATAATTAATAACCTCAATTAGGTGACTTCCTGACTACAGCAGATTTATACACTAAAACGTAAGGCTGCAGTTTACGTTTTTTAATTACATAACTTATTACAATAGTATTTGATTTGGTTTATTTACATAAGCACGATACTCAAGCTAACTGTCACGTGAGTTAGCCGCTACAAGCTAACGCTAGCAAAATATAAATAAACAGCCTCATTTAGCTGTTTTGATGCAACACTGCCGTTTTCCACTTTACAAAAAACTATGACAGACTGGTTACACCGGTTGTCAACATACCCTGTCACTTTAGCAGAGAGTGAGGGAGGAACTCCGCGGTCAGCCTGATCCACCGCCATCTTTGTTTCAGAAGCGTTTCAAACTCGATCTTTATTGACAAACCATTAACAAAAAACAAACTTTAGATAGCTAATGTTTGTAATTTGACTAAGCGATGTTTATTTATAGAATGAGACGTGAAAAGCGACTCACCTCAAGCTATAATGAGTTCCTAGAAACCTATATTTCATGTTTATGTTCATTTCCTGTTTTCTTTCATTTTTTAGATACAATGCCACCATCTAGTGGTTAAAATATGAACTGCAGAGTCTGCAAAGAGTTTTCCATAAAGAAAGATTTTTTTTTAAATAAAGTTAATACATTGAGAATTGCTTATTTGGAAGAAAGAATATATTAATTACTCTGTTATAACAGGTGTCGGAGTTTATCCGTTTCGTATGTTGTATGCTTTGTGCCGCACTGCGCATGTCATCCAGCTCAGCATCCCGTGTTGCCCCGGGCAACGTTTGGCGGGAAACAGGGATGGGATCGAGTTTCTGGGAAATTAATACACAATACTCCAGTGGGTTCTATAAAGACCCCCTATTAAATATTAATAGCCTAATATGCGCGTATAACGCAGACAGCTTCTGCCTGTTGAGTTAAAACTGGTTTTGATTTTAGCCTGATTTTTATTTTGTGTTTAAAAAGCAAATAGGTTTTAATTAGTTTGTTTTCCTAGTATTTATAATAACAGGTTCAGCTGTGCACGAAACACGTTGAAAAGGCTTTATGCACATTTTCCCCCCATCTCTCTCTCTCCTCCCCCACAGATCACTATGGGAACAAGGCGGGCTGTTGTCAGGATGCGGGGGTCCCTGAAAGCGGGAGTCCAGCTGCGTCCACCTCCGGTGTTCATCCACCGCGGGGCCTCCCATCCCTCCCCCACACACACCCGGGCCTCCAGCCTTGGCCGGATTTGTTTTTCTAAACCGAGAGAGGAGTGACTCACCACTCCGGTTTAAAAAAAAAAAAAAGGCAGACCAAGGACAGAGTGGGGGGAGGCAGGGCTGCAGCTACCTTTAAAAGCAGTGACTGATTATGTTGTTTGTTTAAAAGTCGCCTCAGGGCACAAATTGAAGCAGTTTGTTGCAGATTTGCTTCTAACATTCATTGCTTCATGGTGAATTAATTTAGTCATGTGAAGGTCCAGTCTCTGGAAAAGCTGTTCTGATTAAAAATAAATAAAAACAAAAACAGAGAGGGCTTCATATACTGATTATAAGGTATCGATCTTCATGACAAAACACTAACGTGAGCCAGTGATAACAGTTTATCTGCTTTATTCAATAAACTTTTGTTGCTTTTGTTGTCCTTTATTTCCTTTTAGGGGCAGAAAAACATTTGTCCCCCTTAAAGGCTCATGACTTCATTTATGKCACTGATGACACTGATGAAGTCGTGTCTCCTTCCTTAATTACTTTGTCTGGATCGAAATAACAACAACAAAAACAAAAAAAAAAAGATATTTACACTTTAGCAACTTCTGATGATGATGACACGACTCCAAAGTACAAATGTAAGGTCCTCCTCCTCCTACTTCCTGTGCCCCAAAATAGACCTGTGGTTTAGTTAAAATTCAGTTTGAAACTTTTTCCTTCCAGTAAAATACTGTTTAACATTTGAATTAAGGGAAATAAGCAACACACAGGCTTTACAGCATTAAATATAAAAGTCTCTTATTAATACTGTTCAATGTGCACCACACCAGACATCTTGCAAGAACAGAAAAAAACAGTTGTGGATTTTTACAAAGAGTCATGGTCGCAAAATGTCAAAATTATTACATTATATATTTTTAAAAAAAAGGTTATTTTGCACAAAAACCTCCAAAAATCAACAAAAATAGAAATTTAAATGACATTAAAAGCAAATAATGTTCAACAATTAACCAGTTATTTAACATCTAAGCGTCACATCGGGATCAGCACCTTTTGTGTACATTAATGTAAAGCATTCAAAACATATATATGATGTTTATTGAGTGAATTGATTTGATAGTTTTGAATTATAATCACTTATATGTTGTAGATTAAACCAACCAACCTTAATCCAACCCACTGTAGGGATTAAATAACTGTTTTCCAACATTTTTGGTTTGTGGCGTCTTACAAAAAAAGCAGCGTTTGGCCTGTGTCTGTGTTTTAGCCAATCTTTTTATCCCCCACAATAAAAGATTTATATTCAAATAGTCCAATATATTATCAGGGGACATGCACGCAAACAAAAAAAAAATTACTTTCTCATGATAATAATCTCAGATTCATGTGGTTGGGATAAGCTTTTAATCCCACAATAACAAAATGCGGTTAACATATTTTTTTAAAATTTGTTTAAATTAAAAATCTTTGAACAGAAATATCACAAGTCATTTTTAAGAGGATGTTTGTTGTGTATTCTGTTGTTTGATCATTGTTCTTGTGATTTATTTGTTGTGTTTAAATGAAGATATGCCTCTATTTTGTTTTTATGAGTACATCGTGTATAAAACAAATTAATTAATACTCAAAGTGTATTCAGAAAACAATTCTCTTCAACTATATTGTTTGCTTCAGCAGTGTTCCCAAAATAAGGGTACGCACTAAATATAAACAAAGCTTCTGAAACTCAAGTTAAACATTTAATCTGAGAAATCACGTTAGAAGTATAAAACTTGAGAAAAAATATTGAGCAGATTTTATTTTTTTACTTTTTTTGGGACATGTCTTAAACGAGGATGGGACTAAATTTAGGAAAATGTATTGGGGGGGGGGGGTTATTTAGATTAAAATGTAAAAGCCAAATACAACAAAATATGTTGTCTAAAATAAGCTGAAAACATTTAATAACAGGAACAAATAATATTAACGTTTCACGTGTCGGTAACGGAAGAGAGACACAAAGATTAACGAGCAAACGGAAGCTTAAACAAAATAAAACAAACAAACAAACAAACAAAAAAACAGGTTGCGGTTACACAGTGCGGGGAATTAACGTTAACAACGCAACCGCCCCTTCCTCAACGGCTTCTTTTTTTTTTCCTTTCCAACGGCTGCTTTTTCACTCAGTCATGTGATCGTAACGTAAAACCCCTAACCGGAAAACACCGACGGACGACCCCTCTCCTCTCCGCCGCCGACGACGAATGCTGCCTTTAACAAGGAACACAGTTGACGCTGCCACAGCAGAGCGGAGCGCACGGACGGACGGAGCCTCCGGTAACGAAACAAAACCCGAACGGAGACACGGATCAACGAAACGAACTCCGGTAAATTTCACCAAAACAAACAAACAAACAAACGTGCAGGTACGTTCGTTTTCTCACACTGCTCGTAACGCTCCGTTGCTAAAAAGAAACGCTCGTTCGTGACCAACCCCATCCCCCTTGCGTCTCGCGCTGTGTGTGTGTGTGTGTGTGTGTGTGCGCGCGCGCCTGTTCGCATGTCCGTTTCTCCTCGCGCTAACCGAGACCCGAGGCGAAGGCAGGAACCCGGGCTCGTTTTTTTTTTTTAATCCGCTCCCTCTACAACCCTCCACGGTTCATGTTTCTGGCTCGGTGCCGCGGTCCGGACACGTCCTGCCCACTCGTTTCCCTCGCGTGCGGGCGGCTCGTCGGAGTATTTTCAGAATAAAAGTGAACGGAACGTCTGAGTGCGGAAGCGACTTGTTCCACGTGTCTACATCACAGCAGGGGCGGTGCTGKTCGCTGTTGTTGTTCCTAGCAAGGAGCTAAAAAAGCACACAAAAAAAGAATGGACGTTTGTGTTTGGTTGAATATGTTTTTGTTGTAACAAAAGGGGCAATAATCTTATGTATACTGTATATATTTAAGAAAAGCCTGTTTGTTTCCCTTTTTAAATTATTCCGTATTTGAAAGGAAAATGCTTTTGTTGATTAAAACCAGGGGGAAAAAAAAACTTGTCTAATCACTTTGGACAATGCCGGAATGAAGGTACAAGATATATGAGCATTTTGGCACCAGTAGCATGTGGAAGAACGTCCTGATGCATCTCAGTAATCCAGGCAAAAAAATCGAAAAGAAAAAAATTGTATAGGTCTTCTGGACGAGTTCATCTCTAACGAAACGTTTCGTCTCTCCTCCAAGAGACTTCTTCAGTCTGAGAGTTTCAGGCTAAATTCAGGCTTTTAAGCCCTGCCTCCATGTGACTGATGCATCACATGGCTATCGTTGACACCTAATTGACACTTATTGTTAACAGGGGGGGTGGAGTGATACTGGCAATAGCAGCACTGTAGGAGGGGGACAGCTGAAAACGGAGGCCTCCACCTCTGTTTAATGATGGACGGTCTTTCTTCACAAAAATGGCTTCTTTTACTCCTCTCTCAAACCAACGTTCYTCTCTATCAAGAATGAGAACAGACTGTTAATTAGGTGTCAACGATAGCCATGTGATGTGAGTATCAGTCACATGGAGGCAGGGCTTAAAATGCCTGAATTTTGCCTGAAACTCTCAGACTGAAGAAGTCTCTTGGAGGAGAGACGAAACGTTTCATTAGAGAAGAACCCGTTCAGAAGACCTATACAGTTTTTTTCTTTTTGATGTGGAAGAACCATAYGCAGCCACTACAGCCTGGCTCCTCCTCTTCATGTTGGTCCATACATATTGTTTGTGGCGTTGGTCACTCATGCCCAAGCCGATTCCACAGGTGTTTAATCAGGTCAAGTCACCGTTTTCTTCTTCCTTTTTTTTTATGGCGGTTGGCAAACAACTTGTAGGTGCGTTACCGCCACCTTCCAGATTTGAGTATGGATCAAACGCTTATAATCTCCCCACAACACCCGTTTTTCTTAGAAAATTAAAAAATACTACTGAAAACTATATCCCCTGACGAGCTCTGAAACAATTCTCTAATATCCAACTTATTTTTATTTCTACTTAACTCTAATTAACACATTTCTTTCCCGTACATATTTATTACATTCTAAGAAAATATGTTGTACTGTTTCTAACTTTCCAAAATAATTGCAACGACCTGTTTTATGTTAAGTATTTTAAGAGTACTATTTAATCCTGTATGTCCAAATCTTATTTTAGATATAATATCTTATTTTTTATTCTTATTACATTTCCTTAATTCCCCAACTTTTTTTGGATACTATAATAAAACCTCACCTTGTCTCCTCTGTTCCACTGCTCTTKCCGTAACCTAACCCTCTTTTATAATATTTTATCTCATTTTTACTTATTTTAATATTTAAATCAACAATATTCTTTTTTTGCCGCACTCAGCAAAGCTATAAACCAACTCGTTTCCTATCACACCAATGTGGGCAGGAATCCAAACTAGTTTAACATGAGAACCATGGTTTTTAATCCTGAAAATTGAGTGAATTAGAATTATATCCAGTATAATCTCGCCTTGATTCTGAATTTACCTCTTGAATACTAATTAATGCGTTACTTGAATCTGAACAAATTAAAACCTCTCATTTCCTCAATCCATTCTAAAGCCATTAAAATTGCCATTAATTCACCTGTATATACTGTCAATTTATCTGTTATTCTTTTATTCCTCATAAAGTCATCGTTTCCACAGCTGAAGTCTCTGATAAATGTCACTCTTTGTCACGTCAGAAGACGGGAGTGTTTTCAATGGTTAGGCTGAATGTGCCATTAAATAGTTTGATAATATGTTCATGGCAATTTCTAGATTTATAAAAACAAACTTTTTATTKTACAGCTAAAATAATAGCATCATATTTACACACAATGAATATTGATAGGATAAACTCAGCCATCGTCCTCAGCACACCTCTTTGCAAATGCATTTGTATTTACGTCATTCAAGTATAATTTGGTTTTATGCAATTAAATGTGTATCGGTGACATTTTTCTGAAWAATAATTCCGTAATTTTGCCTTATGTAACTGGCTTATTTTGTCCCAATAACAATAAAAAAATACATATGAAAATGCAAATAATAAAAAAATAAAAGTATACACTTCCTGTATAAAACAAATACTAATGATGATTTTAAGCAAAAAGGTTTTTAAATTTTTTTTCCACTAAAATCCCTATAAACAGTGTTGAGAAAACTTCATTCGAATACAAAAAATAGGACTCGTACAGATTTTCCAGGGGTTATCTCGACTATCGGAATATTTCATGATATCAGGAAGATCCGCTGCATTTATTTTAGCCAGGTGTATAAAAAATACATTTAAAACCATGTTATGTGTGACATAATCAGCGTTTTTCTCTCTGTGCTGACTTCATGCTCCCAGTGGCTGCATGTTTGCCCTCTGACCTCTGATAAAAGACGTCTAATAAGGTTTTGTTGGGTCAAACAGAGCTACAGGATTCTGATCTGTGAGAGAATGAAAGCTGTCCAATACCTGTTATCATCCTCTGTGTGTGTGTGTGTGTGTGTGTGTGTGTGTGTGTGTGTGTGTGTGTGTGTGTGTGTGT